GTCCACTCGGAATCCTTTCGGTGGTCCCCCTGTACTTAAACCAAGACTGCCACCTTTTTGTGCAGGATTTTCATCTTTCTATCTAGGATAGAAATCGGTCCCTCCATATAATTTAGGCGCTCATTAGTCTGGATATCGTCTGAAGGAACCATTGATGAATCATCGGCTAAACACTTTCATAGCTGCAAAACATGAAATGTGTTGTGGATCCGACTAAGATCTACAAGTAGCTCCAATCGATAGGCAACCTTGCCCATCCGAGCAATAGTTTGGAACGGGCTGATAAACTTGATGCCCAACTTTCCCCTTTTATGGAACTGGATGACACCATTCCAAGGTGAAACCTTTAGAATAACATAATCACCAACCTAGAACTCAAGATTGGAATGATGCAGATCATTCATAACTTTTCTGACGGCTCTGTGCGGTTTGCGACCTCCCACGTACCTGTTGTATCAACTTTTTACCCTTAAGCACGACCTTCTCACTCCACACAACTGATTGATCGACCTCTCCCCAACAAATTAGGTTACGACACTTCATCCCATAAAACACCTCAAAGGGAGGCATGTCAATGCTAGAGTGATAGTTGTTATTGTAGGAGAAATCAACTAAAGGAAGGTAAGCTTCCCAACTCTTACCAAAATCTAATACACATGCTCTAAGCATATCCTCAAGATTCTGAATTATCCACTCGCTCTGACCGATGGCCCAACTCCTCATAGAACTTCTTCCAAAATCTAGAAGTAAAACGAACGTCTTGGTCAGATTCTACAAAAATAGGTACTCCATGTTGTGCGACTACTTCTCCGATTGTCAGCTAACTACTATTAACATGATCATGTCAACCAAAAAAGAAGTGCCTAATAAAACATACTAATATATTGCTATTTTTTACACATAAATTGTATTTGAAGTGCCAACTATGGATGATATATTAATATAAGTTCTATAAACCTGGTGGCACTGGTTTTGGTAAAACAAATAGATGAAACTGCAAAAATGGTCCATGTGGTATGCATTTTCTCCAATGTTTAGTCGAAACCTCGAATTTTTTGACATTGTGGTCCTTTTGAGCTAGTTTCGTTGTGGATTTTGTCCCTTAATAAACTGAAATGACTTTAATACCCTTGGGGTATTTATTTTCTATTTTTTCTCATTTTTTTAAATCTAACACTTATTTTTTTATTTAAACTATAAAAAATAAGAGGGCCTCTCTCTCTCTCTCACTCTAAAAAAAACTCATCATAATAATAATAAGATCACTAGCGAGGCTTTCGACGATTGTATCTTCCGGCGGGGAGGGTTTCGACAGATCTGAAGGAGTGAGAAAACTAGATTTGGCCACCACCACCACCGCTACCATCTCTTCACTTGAGTTGTTCAGCAAAGACAAAACCGTCGATCTGAACTCTAGCGAGTCTTTCCAGATCTGAACTCTAGCAAATAGTGGACCTTGTTCTTGCATATTTGAACTCTGCCACCTCCAGCAGATCTCGTTCATGACAAAATGGGATATTCTTCATAGACCTTGTGCTCCAGTGATCTTCATTCATTTGTGTGTGAGAGATAGATAACGATGTTCCATATTTGCGTCAGAACACCACCTCCTCACTAGCTAACGGAGATCTAGGGGTTCCGCTACCTGCGATAACGACGTTCCAGATCTACGATGAAGGGTGGTTTCTATGAAGGACAAGATTAGGATTTCTAGATCTGCAAATGCGATCTATAGCAATGAGGTTTTGAGGATTTGGAAATGGAAGAGGGGGAAGATGAAGAGTTGCGGTTGATGAAAACTAAAGGGGGGGAGAGAGGAAAGATGAAGGGTGGCGATGATGGTAGGGTGGCGGTGACGTTTCAATATAATCGATTTGTTTTTCATTCTCGTTTTTTGGAGTTTTGCGGATCTAGAAAAGTGAGTTTTACGAGTTTTTGTTTGAAGATCTGGAAAATTTAGTTCTTGGTTCTAGGGTTTTTGATTTTTCAAATTTGAAAAATATACTTTTGTTCTTTAGATCTATAAAATCAAGTTTATAGAAATATTTTGTTCTTAAATGTTCTTGAGTAATTTTGTTCTAATTTGAGTGTTCTGGAAAACTTTAGTTTGCAAAAAAAATCTTTTGTTCATGAAGGTGGTAGGAGGCAAACGATGGTGTTAGTGGTGGTTGGAGGTAGGAAGTGGAAGGTAGTCTTTAAACACTTGGTGTTCATAATGTTCATTAGTGAAGAACAAATGAAGCTTTGTATTCATAGGTTTGAGAGAGAGAGAGAAAGAGAGAGAGAGTGTGTGTGTGTGTGTGTGTGTGTATGTGTGAGTAAGGTCCCTCTTATTTGTTAACTGTTTAAATAAATAAATAAGTATTAGATTAAAAAAACAAAATATATACCCCAAGGGTATTACAGTCATTTCAGTTTACTGATAGACCAGATTCGCAACAAAACTAGCTCAAACGGACCATAAACCCAAAAAAAAAAAAATCGAGATTTTGACTAAACTTCCGAAAAATTGCATACCACAAGGACCACTTTTGCAGTTTTGTCTTAAAAATACTAATAAAAATGTGAAACTTATTTCTACTATAACATAATCATGTCAAAAACCAAAACAATAACCTAATAAAACATATTAATATGTTACTTTTTACACATAAATTTTATTTGTAATGTTAACTATGGATGATATATTATGTTAAGTTTGGCTTTAAACCTAACACCAGTTTTGGTTATAAAAAAAAATTAATAAAAATGAGAAATTCATTTCAACTGTCAACATGATCATATCAACCACTAAAACAAGTATCTAAATAAAACATATTATGTTAGCTTTTAAGCATAACTTTAATTTGTAATGCTAACTATGCATGTGATATTATGTTAAGTTTTGGATTTAAACCTGATGACATAATTTTGAAAAAAAAAAAAATACTAATAAAAATGAGAAAGGAATTTCTATTTGTTTAAAATATTGAAAGGCATAATCTTATCCAACATTGTTGCTGGAAGAGAATATGAAAGTCAAATTCTTTCTATAAAAACTTTAGATTAGAGAAAGACATTTTCAGGTCCAGTTCAGACGGTGGGCAATCTGAACGACCATCCGAGACCCACATCTCTGGGGGCCCTAAAATTTCTGGGATATATATATATATATATATATATATATATATATATATATATATATATATATATATATATATATATATATATATAGGTAAAAGTTCAAATAATAACCAAAAAATGTTAAGAACCGTAAGAACCTCTAAGTTTAGATGTTTATAAAGGGTTTAGGGTTTAGGGTTTAAGGTTTAGGGTGTTTATAAAGGGTTTAGGGTTTAGGGTTTAGAGGTTAGGGTTAAGGGTTTAGGGTTTAGGGTGTTTATAAAGGGTTTAGGGGTTAGGGGTTAGGGTTTAGGGTTTAGGGTTTAGGGTTTGGGGTTACCCTAAACCCTTTATAAACATCTAAAGTTAGAGGTTCTTACGGTTTTTAACCTTTTTTGGTTCTCATTTGAACCACTCCCTATATATATATATATATATATATATATATATATATATATATATATATATATATATATATATATATATATATATATATATATATATTACATAAATGACTTTTATGGTCTAAAGTTGGTTCAAACTCAAACTAACTCAAAAGATAAACAATTTGGCTTGCTTGTTATTGCTAATTGAACCAGTTTATAGTGAAGAATAAATTATATATTTTTTAATCGTTATTATATTTATCTTTGAGGGACATTTTTTTTCTTTTCGCCATGGGCCCTATATACGTTTGGATGGGCCCCGAATATTTTATTTACTTATTATTATTATTATTATTATTATTATTATTATTATTATTATTATTATTATTATTATTATTATTATTACTTAATTTAAAGTTTTGGTTTCTTCAATGTTGCTGAAACTACTTTTTTTTTGTTTAAGTGATGCGTTTCATAGGTTAGTACTATCTCGACCAACCCCAACTCAACACGAACTTGTTTATTTTATTATATTTGATCGGAAAAAAAAATAGTATCACTACTATTAGATATTTCTGTGTCCCTCTTTTTACATGTCTACTTATAGATTTTCAGTGTGTTACATATAATTCATGTAAGCATCTCATTAATATCGACTTAAATAAAAACAATATTTGAATACTTCCAAATAAACAGTTTAATTCGTGCAAATTGTCTTATTAGTTCGAAACTTAAAAAGAATAATAAACGAAGACTTTACAAAAAAAGACAAACAAAGAAGCCTTATGGTTTTAGAACTTATAGTAGTGGGTTATTAAGATGGGTTATATCCAGAAGCCCAAACTTGATTCATCACTTACTACGTATGAGTAATTTTAATATTCGGCCATACAAATTTGATAAGACAAACTGGTCCCTCTTTGATTACACAATATTGAATATTCTCCGGGTCTTAGCCCGTTAGCCATATGTTTGAAGTTTGAACCTCGGATTTATCGAGTCATACTTGGTGAAAACATGTTTCTTATGCAAAATATATGTGATGATCGATTTAAGTGTTTTAATTGCCATATCACAAAAAACATATAAGTACATCTAAATTAATGGTTACTTTTGAGCAAATTAAGAAAAATAGATGTAACCATTAATTTCGCAATGCCCACATAGAAATTAAAAAGAATTTTTCAAAAGAATTTTTCACATTAAAATTAAAAAGAATGAGTTTATATTGTAAAAACAAAATATTAACAAAAAAACAAAACTGAATTTTTAAAAAAATGTCTTAACCAATAACCATGATGTCCTATACTCCTATTTCGAAGTACATTTTGCATTTGTTTCGAAAACAAGTGGTTACTTTTATAAAATGATTATTTTTTAGTTATTTCTTATAGAATGATCAATAATTATAGTTATTTTTAGAATATTAAAAAAAAAAAAAGTTAACAAAATAGAATGACTTAATATTTAATAATAAGACAAAACAAGTTGAAGAAAAAAAAATCTATACATGTTGTGAACAAGACGAATGGATTGACCAGTGACCACCAGTCTTACAAAATTTCATCAAATTTCTTGCTTTGCATGATGCCATGAATATGCCCCCAAATAAATAAAAACTTCAAAGTTTCAAACCCTCTATTCTTCCATTTGTACGGAGGTCTCAGTACCAGCATGTCTATCACAACATCTTCATCACCATATTCGTCTATAATCAAGTGCTGTGAAGACACAATTGGGCGCCGAAGAAGAGTCGCCATTGACGAGAATTGTTTCCCGGAAAAGAATCTGACACTCAACGCCACCACCGGGAAACCTCCACGGCCGCGACGAATCATCCTGGTGCGACACGGGCAGAGTGAAGGAAACGTGGATGAAGGAGCTTACACGAGAGTCGCAGATCCGAGAATTAGATTGACGGAGAAAGGGAAACAAGAGGCGGAGCAATGTGGGTTGAGAATACGAGAGATGATTGAGAAGGATGGAGCTGATGATTGGAAGGTTTACTTTTACGTTTCGCCGTATCAGAGAACGATTGAGACTCTTCGTGGTTTGGGAACCGCGTTTCAACGATCGAGAATCGCCGGCGTCAGGGAAGAACCGCGGTTGCGAGAGCAGGATTTCGGTGAGCTTCTCCTATCCTTATCCACCTACTCCGCCCTCTCTCTCTCTCTCTCTCTCTCTCTCTCTACACACACGTTTAAATTTGACAGGACTGCAAACCGCCACATGTTGCTTTGGTGGTTGTACCGTACAACCATATTATCCAAGTCGATTCTTAAATCTCACATTCCTTGGCTTTGATTATAGTATTAATAATCTTTTTTAACTTTGAATTATGGTAAATATTGTAAAAACTAATATTATAAAAGAATAGCATAATATGAAGATTGTAAATAAAATAAAGATATGGTAGTTTAAAATACCTTTTGTTTTTTAGTTTATTTTTATATGTACTCCTTTTTACTTTCAAAGACATTTTTACATATATTCTTAAAGCTTGTTTATATGTTTCATGGATATTGGATAGTATTCCGGTAATTGATTTTTTAAATCTAAGAATTTTTTTTTTTTTTTTTTGTTAATTATTGATTGATTGAAGTCGGTTTTTCACTAAATTGAAATGAATAAGACTAATATCAATCAATAGCAAACTCGATTTTTTTATATTGATCGTTTGAATTTCAAAATGCAAGGGAACTTCCAAGATCAAGAACAGATGAAGATTCAGAAAGCCGTTCGAGTCCAATACGGCCGATTCTTCTACCGTTTTCCAAACGGCGAATCCGCAGCAGATGTCTATGATCGAATCACAGGTTAATTAATCCTCTCTTTTTTTTTTTTTTTGTTCAATTCATTTCATCATAATCTCTAAAAAACCATATAATATAAAAAAGAAAGATGAAATTGTGTGTAGGGTTTCGGGAGACATTAAGAACTGATATTGACATAGGTAGATTTCAACCACCAGGGGAGCAAAGCCCGAACATGAACTTGGTCATAGTTTCTCATGGTTTAACCTTAAGAGTCTTCTTAATGAGATGGTATAAGTGGACAGTCGAACAGTTTGAAGGACTCAACAACATGCAAAATGGGAATATGATCGTTATGCAAACAGGTCAAGGTGGAAGATACAGTTTGTTAGTTCACCACACCAAACAACAAATGATGGACTTTGGTTTGACCCAAGATATGCTCGTTGACCAAGAATGGTATCTATCTATCTATCCATTAACGATTGATTAACCCCACCCCTTCCATGACAGATTTATTTAAGCCAATTTTATTTTATTTTTTTCAGGCAAAAAACAGCAAAACCAGGTGAATTAAACTACGAAATCCCAACAGGCGGACCATCTTTCTTCACCCATTTTGACGATGAAAACAATGGAAATTTCAGGAGCTAAGTTTTGTGTGTATATATATATATATAGATAGGAGAAACCATTGATGATGTGTAGCGTACTTTTTTGTTTCTAATAATACCAAGAAAACAGAAGGATAATTTAACTTATGCTTTGATTTAAAAAGCAAAACTAAAAAAATGTGAATGCAAAACGAAGACTAGTCTAATCTGAATGCAAATTAAACCCAAGCCAGCGAGAACTGGGGGGACAACAGCAAAGATTCAGATGAGTTTCTGAGAGCTGAAAATATAAAAGAAAAAACTTTCAAAAGGTTCAGTGCTATGGGAATAAATGCGTATGTGTAATGCATATTCCTCCCTATATATTAGTAAAGGGCAAAAGTAGCACGAACCATGGTTTGGTTTGGTTTTGTTTTGGTTTTGTTTTGGTTTAGTTAGCTGCCAACATTGGTTTACTATTATCACCTTCCTTCACCACCACCTCATTAGTTATCATGATCATCGAGTCAAGGTTAGATTGGTCTTTTTCTTCTTTTGTGTCAGAATCTTTCCTTTCTCTAGACCGCCGTTTAAACTCACCAACCACCACCTCCCTGTCTTCCCTCGACCGTCTTGGAAAATCTTTAAACCGGCCATCTGTCCCTGTCCCATTACTTTTGATATTCCCACGTGCGTGAACTTCCAAAGCATGTTTGTCACGTGCATCAAAACCCCTCCCAAAACCATCTTCATCATCGTACTGAAACCTCTTCACATGTCCATCCATGTTATACCGCTGCTGCCTCACAAACCCCCCACGCCTGTATCCATTATCCGGTCGATCCCCTTCATTACCCACATACCTGGGTCTGCCCCGCCCGGCTTCACTCGGGTCAAATCTTCCGGGCTGCCCGGATCTGTAGAACTCATTTTGCTTTGGTTTTCTTTCATAAAAACCAAATCGTTCCCTTTCCCTTTCCCTTTCCCTTACACTCTCCCTTTCCACCACCTGTGGTGGCGGTGATCTCCGGTCAAAAACAACCGGCCGTTCCTTGTAGTTTACCCAACGCGAATTCGGAGGCGGCGGTGATGAATTACTGCTTCGAGGTCCGGAATTGTATTCCGGTTCAAACCCACCACGCCGGTAGTTTGGTGATCTTGGCCTTCGCATTCTGAAAGTAGGCGATCGACTACGGCGTCGGAACCCGGAATTGGAAACCGGAGAACGCGTCCGCGGTCTCGAAGGTGATCTCGAATTGGAATAATGATTCCCATTCCCTCTTCTTTCCACGGGTGAAAAGCACCGGCGTCTCCTCGGGAAAGGATTTGGGTAATCCGGTAGAAACTCATCGCATTCATCACTTCCGGGTCCATGGTATCGTCTGGGTCCGGGACCGGGTCCGGGTCCGGGTCCTTCACCGTCAACCCGTGTACTGTACCTCACTTGCCCGACCCGCCCGCGTCCCCTGCTCCGACCCATATTGAACCTCTCGTGACCCGTGTCCCCAGTTGGTCTTAATCCTAAACGTGCCCGAAAATCATTTGCTTCGCGATTCATTGGTGAGCGGCTTCTGAAAGGTCTACGAGTCATATACGATGAAGTGTTTGGTCTGTTTGAAGAATCATTTTGATCCATGGAGCCTTCGTTTGTTATATTATCCAAACTTCCAGAATCTTCTAGCATAGTACGAATGAATGGTTGGTTACGATCTGGGGAACGATTCCATACACCGCTTCCCCGTCCACTACCACGGTTATGCGGGGAGTATCTACCACTACCACTACCACTACCACTACCACCACGTCCAAAGGATCTTACCACACCTGAATCCCTCTCTGGTCTCGAAGCTAAACCATCACCAGACTTTGAACTGTAAATAAACACATTAACAAAAGTCAAAATGTTGACCGGATGTAAGGTCAACAAGAAAGAGATTTACTAAATACGTTTTACTTTTAGTTTCAGTACCTGCATCCTTGCACCCGAAATCTACCTCTAGAAAGGAACACGTCATGTGTTGATGGACCTCCGATACGTGTGATCGATTCCTTTCTGTAGAATCTTGACCCTTCACCTTTCATTTCCATATCCTCAGGGTCAAATCCGTCTTTTTGTTCGCCATACGAAAATTTCCGACTTGTAAAGTTTCTGGTTTTGGTGAAATTATTCAAAGAGATTCGTTGATTTTCATGATCCAATCCTGAAACGTTCATCTTCCACTCGTCTGATTGGTTCAGATTCTGAACAATTTCCTGTCTTTCACTGTTGGCTTGATTGCTAACTGTCTCATTTGGTTCCGAACCGGATAAGACTTCATCAGCGTTATGAAGTTTCTCTGGCAACACGACACTAGATGTTAAATCGGTTTCAGTGAGTTTGATTCCTGGAGAGGCTTCTTGTCCACATGGAGAGGTATTAGTTTCACAGGAATCCATGATTCCGATGTTCGAATCGTCTCCCCTGTTGTCAATCACATATTCATTTTCTTCTCCTTTCCAAGCATTTATACTCGATTCCCTTAGTTCTCCATCTTCGTATTGAGAATCATATCCACTTCCAGCTCGATTGTCAGTCTGTGAATTGTCATAACGGATTCCATTCTCCAATGGCGCTTCGGAATCATTTATAGAAGGAATTGCAGCAGTCTGTAAAGGAACTTCTGTCCCCTTGCTGACATCATTGCTTGTTAACTCCATTTTCACCATGGATTCATCGACCTTATCTGAAAGGACTCCATTTTCCACAGAGGCTGCAGGGGTAAGTGATAAATCATGTTTCTCGTATTCAGGTTTACAGGTGTTAGTCATGGCTGGTTGTGTAGTAACAGGAATGGCGGATTCTGCCACCACATTTTCTTTGGATGCATTCAAGTTTAGATAATGATCAAAACCTGGGGGCACAGAACAATCCATTGATAATTTTGTGTCAACAGCCTCAGTAACAGAAGAAGTTTGGCCACCACGAGTCGCCCACTTTGAAAAAATATCGGGTGTTGGGTTCTCCAAGGTTAGGGTTTTAGTAACAGGAATTACTGATTCCACCACCACGGAATGTTGAGCATTATCTAGTTCACAAGACAATGGTTTTCCCAGCTTTAACTCGTTTTCGTGAGCCAGACTTTTCATCTCAATGGGTATGTTCAGATTGCTGATGTCTTTTGATGGAATCCCGGATTCCCCTTCGCTTCCAGGCTTATGATCTCCGGAATTGTCTTTTGTACAATCCTCTTTTTTGTCTTCGAAAAATGTGACTTTGTTTTGTGCAGAAACTTCATGCTCGCTGACAAATGGTTCCTCCCATGCATCATCCATCACGGTGTTCAAGTCCCAGTTGAATCTGACATCTCTTGAAGTCGGAATTGCTGATTCCAAAGGGGAATGTGAAGAGGAGTTATCCAATGTGGATTCATTTGGTGAAGATTTCTCCAATGGGATCTTATCTGGGGCAGATTGGTCCTTTGTTGATGTATGGGGATCAGATTCTTCCTTAGCAGATTTTGAAATGTTTTCTTTTAATTGAATAGTGGTTAGAGCTTCTGGACTTTTGGCGACAGATGTGGTGATTCCAATTCCAGACTCTTCACTGCGATCGGCTTCAGTTCCCAAACTGTTACTACATGCTGCAGCAGCAAGTATAGATATGCCAGAAAAGTCATCATCTTCACCAGGTTCATTTTTAGTCTTCACCAACTCCTTTTTTACCAATTTATCATCATTACTACCTCTTTCACTCATTCCAGCAACTGATTCAGGTAGACAAGCTGCATTCGGGTTTAATTTTAGCTCATGATTATAAGCTTTGGGACTCTCCAGAGATGGATTCCGTGGCGGAGATGATGCCCGGAATAAGAATCTCCTTTTCTTGATTGGAATGTGTTCTGCCTTTTCACTGAAGTGACACCCAAGAACAGAGACTCCCAACTGCAATTTTAGTAAAAGAGTGTTTAGGTTAAAGCCTACAACTAATGAGTTTCTGCTAAAGAGTATGATTATAGTGAGCATTGAAACATCACCTTTTCTGATTCAGAAACAGGCATTTCTAGAACTTTTGAATCCTTAGTTAAGTTAATTGTGTTTGAACTTCGAGGTCTCCTTGATGAACTCCTACAACCCTTTGAAACTTTTGTCCAAGTAAAGTCTGAATTGATTAAGCTAGTAAGTTCCAAAACTGTGCTAAGAAGACAACTTGAAGAGCTTTTTCCATTAATTGATGATCTTCCACCACAGTTTTTGCAGGATAGTGTTCCACTACGTCTTTTGCTTGATGTGTTAGTAGAGGTTGAACCCCCAGTGCAGGTACACAGATGAATCTGCAAGTCCAGAAACAATTACCTCCATCAAAATGCTGTAACATCAAAAGTGTTGTAATGGAATGTTTTGAGTGATTGCAACTCCCACCATTAGATGTGGCCCCTCATTGTTTGCCTTTGAAGATAGCGATGTCTGTAAAGCTTTGAAAACCCAAGGTACTCGATTCACAGCCTGTAAAGCATCATAGAAATACATGATTAGATGAGCCAACAAAGCAATTAATGCAAAAAGGGATTATATGTTCAGTATTTGGGGCCAAGAAATGCAAAAGCTAACAAGACTCCTGAACTCTTATGGATACATCCACACTAAAAGAAATGGCATTGCAAATCAAAGATGAAGCGTTTGGAACAAGACACCAATCACTCAGGATCTAAAGCATAAACAAACTGCTTTCAAAAAGAAGCCAAGTCTAGTTGAGTTGCTGGCTTGCTGCAGATTCAGGCTTCCAGGACAATCATGTGAGAGTCATAACATAACAAGATAAGCACGATTCAAATATGCCTTCAACGGAGAAGATTTTGATCCATGTGTTAGCATTTCCCTAATCTCCAAATGAGCAGAAACGAAATACTGAGGATGATGAACATTGAAGAGATAGCAAAAGCATATCCCATGCCTTGTCTCAAACAACTTCAGATTGATTCGAGTAGAAGCCATGGATTCCAATATTTAGTAGCAAACAATCTTTCTCCATTCAAACCAAGGAGATTTACAGAGCTCTAAGGAAACAAATAGGTTATGTGTGGTCAAGACACTGCACGCCCTTTTTGACCTGTAAATGTTGTGAATCTGAGCATAACGTCTCAAATGATGGATAACATCTAAGGAGATTAGATCCCTAAATGTGCTAAACCTAGGTAGAAGAAAAACGAGATCAGCTTCCGTGAATATCAAGCTCGTGGATCTTATACCGCAGATGAACAAGCACATAAGATTTCAAAAAATGAGTTCGCTGAGGATGTGATTCAAGATCCACGACGCCGTGAACTCAGCCACGGAGAGAGAAAATCACCACGAGAATCATGAAGAATGCCACCAGTGAACTCGAAGATACAGCGGTAAAGCAAGAAAACCCTCCTTAACATATATTCTTCTTCAAACAAAACCACTTGCAATCGCGAAAAACATCAAAATCCATCACTCGTCGCAACACTTGAAATGAGACTATAAGATTTCCGAAGCGAGAAACTTCCATTTTATTTCAACCTTTCAATCGAATCGATCTAAGAAAGCATCGAACCATCCAATATCATCGAACCTCAATAAAACAAAATTACACACGAACAAACAGATAATATCAAATACACACACGTCCACACGCACACAGACGCAAACTAGGGTTTCAAATACCTGATGAAAAAATCAAAACACAGATCGAATGATTCACATTAACCGATCCTTCGACAAACTCCGACCAATCAAAAACCAAAACTTCTCCTCCGCCGTAACAAAAATGGCGGCGACTAACGACTGAAAAACTTTCTCTCTCTACAGCTTTCTCTCACTAAACACACACACATCATCTGTATATATAATATATATGCATAAATCAATCTTCTTCAAACGCTTATATTCCACACATTTCTTCTCCCATATGCCACTCTATTACGCGATCCCTTGCTTCGATTGTGTGTGACTGTGTGTATTTTCACACCCTACTGTGTGTGTATATATATACAGATGCATCACCACCAATTTCTGAGTAGTTTTTGACGATTTTGCCCATGGTTTTGGAGGTGTATTGACCGTTTTACCCTTTTCAAGAATCACCAACCCTTCTGCAAGTAGCGTGTTTAGTTTAGCCTTCTCAAAAATAAAAGTCAACCGACACCAATTATGAAAGGGCCAATTAAAGCCTAAAATAATATTCTAGATTTAGATCTTAAATATGTATAAACTCTTTTTTTACCTAATATTTCCTCATAATAGATTTATTATTTTCCTATTTGAATTAAATTTATTTTTTGGTTTAGCATTTTTTTTTTGGCAAAAGCTTGTTTTCATTTTAATTTTTTGAAATTTATGATCAAAATATTTAAATTTTAGATCAACTTATACCTGTTGTTCCGTTATCAAGTAGTTTTTTTGGATTTAGTTAAAGAAAATTCGTTATTAATCTTTCTTTTATTGTTTCATAATGTTTTTTGGTCTAAAATCATTTTAGATTAAACAAGTTATTTTCTTTTGTGTTTACTGTTTAAGGTGAGCAACTTCTTGTTGGATAGATTCAAAGGTTCTTTGCTCTAAATAGGCTTGGTATCAAAAGGTAAAGAGGGTCATAGGAAATGGATTGTTTGAGGGTATTGTAGGAGAAGAATGGACTTGTGTGGACCCTTAAGTATGGGAAGTAGGTTAGGGTTTGAAATAATAAATACATAATTAAAATGTATAATCGTCTTATATCCACCGGTAAATTAGAGGGGTTTATTGATTTAAGGAGGTTTACAATAATATCAATATAAATATATAGAGCTATGTATTTATTATTTTTTATCCTAAAACAATATAGGTGTTTGATTTTGATACTAAAACTACCTAGTTTTTTAATTTCGACCAAGAAACTATATCTTAATAGTGACAATAAAGTCAATGAATAATCATACTCCACAAGTAAATAACTTATTAAACCAGATGTTCCATCACTCGCTTGAGAAACACCTAAACATTGTTCAAGGATGTCACGTCCTCAACCATATCATGCAAAAACATAATCAACACAAATAGAAAAAAAAAATGTCTTCCATTCTAGATTAAATCAAACTTGGATGAGTTGAAGATATAGGGGTATCCTCAAGGTTTTTGAACAACTCAACTACTTAAACAAAAAGGTTTGCAAATGAAATTACATGGCAAATTCACTAGCTACTATAAGTTTTTTTCTTTTTTGAACCGGCAAATCTAACATCCTAAGCTAACAACACCTATTTCACTTATATCCACGACGGGAGTTGAACCCTCGACCTCAAAGAGGGAGTGCACCACCTGATACCGTTGGGCTACAAGCCCTTTGGTACTAGCTAGCTACTATAAGTAGCAATAATATTGGGTATATGACAACAATTAATGTTGAAACTCTTGGGTTATGATGATTTCCACACACATCGCAACGGAAACAAAACATAAACAAAACTTTTAATAATCATAATTCACCATGGGTCTTATTCTAGAAAACGTTTAGCAACAAAAATACATCATAATGCAAGGACCGAATATATCTTTCTTGTGGAGAGTATGAATTGTTCCCTTCCATTTATTGAATGAATAAGAGCTCAAAGGAGAACCCTTTTAATGTAGTCACACCCAAGATGAATGATCAAGCACCAAGACACAAGCTACTCCTATTTGTTCATTGTGAAAGCTGAGAAAGTATCACCTTAAGAGAGGGGTTGTTGAGTGTTGCTTAGAACCAATAGACACGAGAAAACAAAAGAGGGGTAAAGAGAGGGGAGACTAAATAGTATACCAATTAGCTAGGGCTTTAAGGATTTGTACCCTTGTCTTTTGACTAGGCATGATTATCCCTTAATACAAGCAATAATTATTAACAACTCAAATTAGGGATATTTACACTTAAACCCTTTAACTTTAGTAGTTTCCAATTTATTTATCATCTAATGACTAATAAACAAACTAGCCCCTCTAACTTCTCTTTATCATATTATACTTAAATCACATCTTATGTCAAACCCAAAATGACCTTATTAATTATGGAAAGTTATAAAACTTGTTATGACCAAGGGATAGTTGCTATGTAACAATTGTTTTACTAGCGTGTTATTTGTATATTTTAATAGAATAAGAATGAGGCTTTTGGTAGGCTTCGCGATGCGATCATGCAATGGTTGTGGAGCGTACCAGTTGTATCAGTCGCGACACATCCTTTAAGTGGGTTACGACGTGTGGCCACAATAGCTAAAAACCATATGTCTAGGGTTTTGGACCTTAATTAAAGGCACTAACTCCTAGGTTTCTCTCATTTACACCCCCATCCTCCAGAGAGACTTAGACGCAAACCCTAGCCTTTTCTCATCCCTTTGTGGTGTTTTAGTGCCTTGAGTGTGAAGCCTGAATAAGGAGAATGTGTTTGTATATGCATTTTGGTCCCATTCACTAGATGTTCCTTAAAGTTTGGGAAACTCCAGTGATATAGATTTGTTTGAAGATCATTTTTGGACACTTGGTGGAGAAAACAGAGCATGCTTGAGCTCTCTTTAAACCATGAAAGAAGTTTTAGCTTTTTGGATCTATGGTTAATGTTTGTTATTGTAACACTTGTATCCTCATGTATAATCCTTTAAGGTTAAAGTTGTCATTTTGCACCTTTCATGTTCTACACTGAGCGTAGGATAGCCTCTTACGCTGAGTGTAGGTAAAGGATCCCATGCGTGGGTTTAATGCCCTACATTGAGCATAGAGAAAATTACATTGATTGTAGGTGCGCAACATCAAAAATCCTGATTGTGGGGTTGTGAACCATATTTAAAGGCTCTAACTCCTTAAGGGCCATTCCATGCTCGACCTCCACTTTAACGACCAAAAATTTCAACCAATTTTTAACTTTTAAAAAACAACCCATTTTAATAATGTTATTACAAAAAGGTTTTCAATACATTTATTATCAGAGTATTTCCCAGAACCATATCATAAAACACAAACACGATGAGCGGTACGATCACGCCTTTGCCTTGCCACAGTTTCCTAAAGAACCTGAAAAACATTAAACCACAATTGTAAGCCTGAAAGCTTAGTGAGATACCCCCAAAATACCAACCACATATACCATACACATAACATGCTATCACAACAAATCGCAGAACAGCCATGCATTTCGGGTCTACTGTGTGATTGGTCCGCCGTGATGGGCCTTCAGTCCACCTGGTCCACCCTCCAGGTCTAGTCATATCCCTCGAGTTTGCAGTATGGTTGGTCCGCCCGCACCGAGCCTTCAACCCACCTAGTCCACTCTCTGAGTCTACAGTATGACTGGTCTGCCCGCATCGGGCCTTCAGTCGGTCTGGTCCACTCTCCGAGCCTCGGCACGTCTGGTCCGCCCTCGTGGGGCCTACAGCCTATCCAGACCACTCGCTGGGCCTTCGGAATAACCGGTCCGCCCTAGGTATGTTGGCCTACAGCACAAAGCAGGTCCCGCCTCAACCCAACTCCAATCAAACAACCATGTGCACATAAACATACAATCATATAAACATTTACATTCAATCAAACCGATCTAGCAGATCACGTAACACAACATACTCTAAGCAGGATACCGACCTAACCGGTCACTAGCATAGCATCACCCTATATACCAGGATACCGACCTTAACCAGGTCTCTAACGAATACCATCCTAACTACCAGGAGGCAAACATAGTAAAATAGCAACATAACAACAATACCCGGATTACAATCCGATAAAGGGTCGGCCTTTGTGCCTTAGACCCTGTTGACATAGTGAGGATAACTCACCTCGCAACTGCTGACTGGAAAGATAAAATCGAAATGCTCCGACCACTGTCACGATCTCCACCACTGAACTCAAAACAAAAGCCAACAATTACCAAAATGCCCTTAGAAGTCAACTGGTCAACTCTTGGTCAAAGTCAAAGTCAAAGTCAACCTTCTGGCTGACTCTACTCGCTGACTCACCGAGTCCCCCAACACTGAAAAGGACCCATCTAAACTCACTGAGTCATCCCTTGACTCACCGATTCTTAGCTTAACCAGGAAAAGCTAAGACCTCAAGACCAGACTCGCCGAGTCCAAGGCTATCTTCAACCAACTCGCCGAGTTGTTCTTCAAACTCGTCAAGTTCCTGCCTGCCTTTAAGCAACTCGTCGAGTACATCCTTGTGACTCGCCGAGTACCACTAGTTCTTAACCCATACAGAAGCCTTCCAGGCCATGCAATCGCTCCAAAACGTAGATCTACCCTTCTACAACCCTTCCATCACGTAAAGTGGCAAACTTTACGTGAATCCAAAGAGATCTAGGCATTTTACACTTTAGGGCTAGGGTTTGGGACAAGATGGCTTCACTAATCACTCAATAACAGGGACTTTAATGCATTCTAGACCTTCTCCATTCCAGATCTGAGGTAGCAACCTCAGATCTAACCTTCAAACTCTAAATACCACAAGCTAAGCTTCCCACACATCCCAAAAATGATGAATCTAAAAGAATAGCAGCCCAAGAACAAGATAATACCTCAAAAGGAAGCCCCAACAGCAAGGAAATCTGAATCTAAGCAAAGCCCTTTGTTCCAAGCCTCCTAACTCTCCAATATCTTCCTCCAAATCACTTCTCCAAGGCTCAAAAGCACCCAAATCCTTCACAATCACGCTTCTAGGGTTTTCTGGACTTCAAGGGAAGGTAAGGAGGCTGGGGAGAGGGTATAATGTCCTTTATATAGGGCTCATCCACCGAAATTAGGGTTTTCTTCACACAACGCCTACTCGCCGAGTCCAGCCTTGGACTCGCCGAGTTGGCCACTTAACACGCGACCTAAGTCGCGACCCTACTCGCCGAGTCCACCCATGGACTCGCCGAGTTGCCCTTCAAATTTACACTTTGAACCCCGAACTTGCACTCCTGGACTCGGGGTGTTACAATTCTCCCCCACTTAAATTAGGCTTCGTCCTCGAAGCCTGCGGCAACACAACTCCAGAACTACTTTCGCAATGCACCTACTGGCCTTAACCAAACCAGATTCCTCAAAACACGGCCATCGAAAATCGAACCCAACTTTCTCTTTCTTGCGGTGTTCTGACCCCCGCTTCAAACCGGCTGCTGGTCTCATCCTCTGATAATCACACCTAACCACTGAGTACCACTCCCTGATACTTCGCTCGCTCCAATTCACAACAATCATTTGACTCATGAGAGCTAGAAATAATCCCTGAACCACCAGAATCCCGGTCTGAATTCAACTTTACCCATTCCATGCTGACAGGATGATGCATCCCTCAATCTCATAGCAACTCTCATGAGTTCCCCTCCACAATCTCATACCCCATGCTGAACTGGCTTTGGCACCCTCGGGTTGGAAAACCCGATACACTGACAATACCTCCAAACATCTCCCCATGATGAATTGCCACTACATACACAATTTCTTAACCGAAATAGAGCTGGGAATCCAAGACTCCATCTTTGCATCCCTTACGAACCTCTTGACTTTACACCCTCGGAATTTCCTTCCGTGACCTCGGCAGACATCCAAACCGGATGTGATTCCATATCACCGCCGCACACACTGCGCAACAACCATAATAGAAACACTTCAATCATAACTTCGCACTACTAATTTCACTTCCGTGAACTTACACTCCCTCTCGGAGCTACATTCCTTCCCTTTTTCCCTACCAAGGAGATCCACTTGGCTGCCTTGACACTACCACAAGTGCCAAGGTGCTCACCCAATATTACACCATTTTCTTATGGCATAACCGCTATCCCATGCACCACACATACTCTGAATCCACTCGCGAAGACTCTCAAGTCCATGCTCGAATTCCCATCATGATCAATACCCTGGGCCAGACCTTCTAACGCTAACATGTCACGACATACTCAATCCATTTCCTCGCACCGATCTAACGACACAAGTAGAGTCTTCAGCATGACTGGACCGCCTTACCAGGCCTTCAGCCAAACTGAACCACTCTCATAACCTACAGCAGACCTGGACCACCCTCTAGGGCCTTTAGTCTGACTGGACCGTTCCCCGAGCCTTCGGCCTGACTGGTACGCCTACCGGCCTTCAGTCTATCCGGACCGCTCGACTAGCAATCAACATTCCGAGTTACTCCTTCGGGAAACTCCTCCCATGCATACTGTTCTAGCCCTCTAGGGGTTCTGAACTCTACCTCCATCCCATATACTCAGTCCCAGCCCGATCCTAGGCCTTCCACAATCAATCGCTCTTGGTCTGCATCCCGCCCCGCACGCCTGCCACTTACTCCTACCAGCCTACGCCTTTGGATGACCGAGACACTACTGAATCCTATGCAGCTAAACGACCTTTCATACTCACCAATTTTTCCGGAGAATTCTCCAATTTTCCCCCACTTAGAGCACTGACTATCAACCACCGGTCGCCATTGCCGACCTTCCTCAACAAACCTTCCTGACACAAACACTTACACGCGAACCGATTCCCACTAACACGAGCAACCTTCACAAATCACACATCAACACTGATCATCCCGGCATGAAAGAAACTCGATCCTCAGCTAACCACTCCTCAGACTGCAATTGTTGCTCGATATCCAGACCAACACCCGATTCCCACGAACAACCCTCATGAATGATAACCAACGACATTCCCAACACTAGACCCATAACCAAGCCATAATCCTCAAAAATCAAAGAATACAATACCGAAAACCATGCAACGAGACTAGCATATAACAATACTCCACAATAATCATAAAATAATAAGACATCAAGAAGAAACATACTCGTAGTTGCATCCGGCACTACCCTGACCTCCTCCGCTGTAAGCTGAAAAGCACGACCCTAAGCCCTTGGGGGCTCCTCTCCACCCTGACCTCCGCCCGTGATCCTCAACGTGGCCAGTGCTGGAGCCCGCACCGGTTGTGCAGTAAGTTGTGGACAGTTGACCCGCAAGTGTCGAACCTGATGACAATGATAACAGATCCTCAAATCCCGACTCGGGACTGCCTGCCGACAATCCCTCACATAGTGCCCCTCCTTTCCGTACTTGCGGCATGCACCACCGGACCGAAAAACTCCAGTGTGACCCTTCCCACACTTCCCATAAGTGTGGCTGCTCTGATCTCCTAATCTAGAATCGACGGTCTTAGACCGTTTCGGCGTCGGCTGCGACTGCACCGGAACCTGTCTCTGCTCTCGTATCTGCAACTCAAGCTCCAACTCACGCCGCCTGGCGGCCTCCTGTAACTCTAACAAGGTCTCGCACCTCTGCGTAGACACGAACTGTCTGATATCCCTCTTGAGCATACTCAGATATCGGGACATCTGAGCTTGCTCCGAAGCAAACTCGGGGAAAAACATCGCCTTCTCAGTGAACATCCTGGTGATCTCCGTCACCGACTCCGAATCCTGCTTCAACTCAAGGAATCCTGAGCCAATCTCTCCCTCTCAACCCGTGGAACATAACGAGTGCTAAACATCTCTCGGAACTGATCCCATGAAACCGCAGCCCTCTGTGCATCCGAATATGACCCCGTGGCCAATCTCCACCAATCCTTCGCCCCAAGCCTTAACAGGTTTAGAGCACACCTCACCCTCTAATCAGCAGGGCATGAACACGTGAAGAAACACCCTTCCACATCTGACAACCATCTCATAGGGTCCTGAACTCCATCAAAGGTAGGGGGCTTCGTATTACCGAAGTCCCGATACTGGAAACCTCTACCAGCTCCTCCCCCTGCCGTTGCTAGAGCCGCTGTAACCGCCGTGGCAGCCGTCTCTGCGAAAGCTGCATAACGCTCATCAAAATACTCCACCATGGCGGTCTTGATCGACCCAAACAGTTCCGGCAGCTCGGCCCGGAACAACGCGACAACCTCATCATGCAGTATCTCACGTATCCTAGCATCGAACTCGCCTGTGCTCATCTGACCAATAACCTCAGGCGGTACTAACCCGCCCTGACCTCCCTCTCCTGCTCCCGATCCTGACCCGGATCCGCTCCCGGCATGTCTCGTGACCACCATACTGAAAAACATCACAGAATCTCAGATACTTCCCACTAACCCGGGAACCAACTCCCAACTCAACCCTAGTGGTCATGGTTTCCCTGATACGCATATGGGTCCTGTGCTTTCAGTAGTATGGGCTCATACTACCTTCCACACCTACCCATATTTGTATGAAGTACTACCACAACACCCTAGTGACAAATATACATAGCAAGCACTCAATCCACACTCCTAGAGGAACACTGAAAATCTTATACAGAAGGAAACCCTAGGCTAGCAGGCATCATAAAACAGGAAACATTATCATGAAATCCTGAAGATCCCTAGCCTAGTACTAGCATGCTGTTCTATCAAAGCTCGAAAACAATTATCATGCATGGTATTTTAGGGTTACTTACTGGCTCCGGCTGATCGTACCTCCGCGTCCTCCTTTTACTTAATTTGAAAACCATTTTAATTTCTCTTTTAAAAACTCTCCCTGATTTGAGACTGGATTCACACGAATGTTCCTCCAATTCACTCAAACCAAGGCTCTGATACCAACTTGTAACGACCAAAAATTTCAACGAATTTTTAACTTTTAAAAAACAACCCATTTTAATAATGTTATTACAAAAAGGTTTTTGAATACATTTATTATCAGAGTATTTCCCAGAACCATATCATAAAACACAAACATGAGGAGCGGTACGATCATGCATTTGCCTTGCCACAGTCTCCTGAAGAGCCTGAAAAACATTAAACCACAACTGTAAGCCCGAAAGCTTAGTGAGATACCCCCAAAATACCAACCACATATACCATACACATAACATGCTATCACAACAAATCGCAGAACAACCATGCATTTCGGGTCTACTGTGTGACTGGTCCGCTGTGATGGGCCTTCAATCCACCTGGTCCACCCTCCACGTCTAGTCATGTCCCTTGAGTCTGCAGTATGGTTGGTCCGCCCGCACCGGGACTTCAACCCACCTGGTCCACTCTTTGAGTCTACAGTATGATTGGTCCGCCCGCATCGGGCCTTTAGTCGGCCTGGTCCACTCTCCGAGCCTCGGCACGTCTGGTCTGCCCTCGTGGGGCCTACAGCCTATCCAGACCGCTCGCTGGGTCTTCGGAATAATCGGTCCGCCCTAGGATGTTGGCATACAGCACAAAGCAGGTCCCGCCTCAACCCAACCCCAATCAAACAACCATGTGCACATAAACATACAATCATATAACCATTTACATTCAATCAAACCGATCTAGCAGATCACGTAACACAACATACTCTAAGCAGGATACCGACCTAACCGATCACTAGCATAGCATCACCCTATATACCAGGATACCGACCTTAACCAGGTTTGTAACGAATACCATCCTAACTACCAGGAGGCAAACATAGTAAAACAACAACATAACACCCGGATTACAATCCGATAAAGGGCCAGCCTTGGTGCCTTAGACCCTGTTGATATAGTGAGGATAACTCACCTCACAACTGTTGACTGGAAAGATAAAATTGAGATGCTCCGACCACTGTCACGATCTCCACCACTGAACTCAAAACAAAAGCCAACAATTACCAAAATGCCCTTAGAAGTCAACTGGTCAACTCTTGGTCAAAGTCAACCTTTTGGCTGACTCTACTCGCTGAGTCAGCCCGCTGACTCGCCGAGTCCCCCAACACTGAAAAGGACCCATCTCAACTCACTGAGTCATCCCTTGACTCACCGATTCTTAGCTTAACCAGGAAAGGCTAAGACCTCAAGACTAGACTCGTCGAGTCCAAGGCTATCTTCAACCAACTCGCCGAGTTGTTCTTCAAACTCGTCGAGTTCCTGCCTGCCTTCAAGCAACTCGCCGAGTACACCCTTGTGACTCGCCGAGTACCACTAGTTCTTAACCCATATAGAAGCCTTCCAGGCCTTGCAATTAATCCAAAATGTAGATCTACCCTTCTACAACCCTTCCATCACATAAAGTGGCAAACTTTACGTGAATCCAAAGAGATCTAGGCATTTTACACTCTAGGGCTAGGGTTTGGGACAAGATGGCTTCACTAATCACTCAATAACAGGGACTTTAATGCATTCTAGACCTTCTCCATTCCAGATCTGAGGTAGCAACCTTAGATCTAACCTTCAAACTTAAATACCACAAGCTAAGCTTCCCACACATCCCAAAAATGATGAATCTAAAAGAATAGCAGCCCAAGAACGAGATAATACCTCAAAAGGAAGCCCCAACAGTAAGAAAATTTGAATCTAAGCAAAGCCCTTTGTTCCAAGCCTCCTAACTCTCCAAGATCTTCCTCCAAATCACTTCTCCAAGGCTCAAAAGCACCCAAATCCTTCACAATCACGCTTCTAGGGTTTTCTGGACTTCAAGAGAAGGTAAGGAGGTTGGGGAGAGGGTATAATGTCCTTTATATAGAGCTTATCCCCCGAAATTAGGGTTTTCTTCACACAGCGCCTACTCGTC